CTTGAACTTGCAACGATCCTCCTGCCTCAGCCTCCTGAGTGGAGTGCTGGGATTACAGGCGTGCACTACCACACCCAGCCATTCTTACTGTTTTTGCTTTGTTCTGTTTTTGTCTATGTTGTTGGCATTTTGCTATTGTTATTATTCTCTTTAAAAAAAAAAAAAAATTTAAAGCCAAAATTTTTAATTAAAAAAAATTTTTTTTGAGATAGGGTCTTGCTACGCAGTTCAAGTTGTCCTTCAGGTCATTTTGTAGCCCAGGCTGGTCTCAAACTTGCAATGATCCTTCTGCCTCAGCTTCTCAAGTGCAGGGATTACAGGTGTAATCTGTAACATGGTTATGGTGGTTAATTTTTTAATTTTTATGGTGGTTAATTTTTAATTCACCACACCCAGCTGATTTACTTATATTTAAAAGGACAGGTTTTCTTCTACTTCATCTCTAGCTCAAGTCTTAGCTAGAATATTCTCTTCTAAGGGGAGATGGGTAAAAGGAAATGCTATAGTACTATAATACTTTATAAAAAAAGGCCAAGATAGAATACAAACTTAATATTCTTTATTATTAACCTATTATTTGTCACAAAGAATACCTTTAATAAATTGGATCTCGTGATATCAGGAAAGATGGAAGATTCCCACAATCTGCTGGCTTCAGCAGTTAGTTTCTCCCTTAAAAGATGAACTGACTTTGACTAAAGTATAAATAAATGCGGTCCATAAAATAGTTTCACTTAAAACAAAGTCTGCTTATTTGATGGATAAACTTAAAACTTGAAACTATAGGGCTCTGGCATTAAAAATGTTTATAAACTGAAACTGGTTTGAAACTGCCATGCCACAACCCCCGTCTGCAAGTTAGGGGCAGAACCTCAGAGATGAGTTTTCTTCCTATGTTCCCTCTAATTCCCAGGGGCAGTCAATAACACCTCCATCTAGTTTTTCTTACAGCTCAACAGAAACACAGCCAGCCGGGGCTGGGGATTTAGCTCAGCGGCAAAGCTCCTGCCTGGCAAGTGCAAGGTCGTGAGTTTGGTTCCCGGTACCGGAGAAAAACCAAAAATAAAATAAAATAGAAACACAGCCAGCCAGCCAGCCCTGTCAGTTCCCTTCTGAATTTACCTGAAGGTCAATGTAGCCATCGTCTGTGCTGGAGAGCCTTGAGTATTTTACTTTACTACTAGGGATTCCAGTAGCCACATTGGTACGGGATGGCATCATAACACGCTGACACAGCTAAAACAAAAAAAGTTTGTTATTGTCTATAGGTGACAGGAGTACATTACAGCCAATGACTTCAGACTCCATGTACTAGAGTTCTGGACCACCATGCTGGACTGGAACTGGTAATTTACACTTCACTGCCTTAAAACCTGATATTCTGACAGTGAAATCATCCTCACTATGTGCCTACTCTGGTCTGTCCACTTAGGACGACAGGAAGGACATTCACGACAGGAAGAGCCAGACCACAGTGTCCTCTGCCGCCACCATTTTTTCCAAAGTCACACTTAAATCCAGGTGCACCTGACACCGAAGACCACATTTTCAGACACTCCCATATAGTATGGCCTGTCCTATGTCATCTCTTGTTGGCGGGGGTGGGGGGGTGGAGGCGGTGGGGGTGGGGCCTCCCCCCCACCTCCCACACATATGTTCAAGTGATTTTCTTGTTTGCCAGAGAGAAAAGAGAGAGTAGGGAACAGAACTCACATCAACATTTTGCTTCTTTTCTTGTGGTGGATGTTATCCTTTTAACACAAAGGATTTGTAAAGCTAAATTTTTTTTTTTTTTTTTTGGTACCAGGAAATGAACTCACTCTGGACCTCACACTTGCCAGGCTGGCATTGTGCCACTGAGCTAGATCCCCAGCCCAAAGCTTCTAAATTTGGATCACCTACTGGCTACGGGTACTATACCAGTGCCTTCAGATATGTCTACCTCTCTGGCTCACCCCAAGTCGTGAAAATAGAGAGTGCCATTTTCCGTATTGTGCGGCTCCCTAAAAAGCTGAATAAAAGTCGGATTTCTTGGGCTACAAGTGTAGTTCAGTGGTACAGTGCTTGCTTAGCATTAAACTCAAGGTCCTATGTCTGATCCCCAATGCTGCCCAAAAGAAAAACAGTCCGGTTCATTGTCTAGGATATTCAGAGTACAGCACTGAAATCATGGTTACTTTGTCCAGTTTGACAGTATGCAGGATTTTAAAATAATAAGACTTAAATTTCAAAAATTTGAAATTTGTACACATTTCTTCCATAAAGTTACAAAGTTATGTGAACAAAACAAAGCCGTGGTTAGGTGCCAGGCACTGTTCTAAATTTCTTTTTTTTTTTTTTTAATTTATTTTTTGGTACCAGGAATTGAATTCAGGACCTGTGCTTGTCAGGCAGGCGCTTGTACCACTGAGCTACAGCCCAGGGCAGAAACTGTTCTAAATGCTTCATACTGAACAACAGAAAGTAACAACTGTACAGCTTATCTCAAGTAGCATCACGAAATAATGCGTGTTAAAAGTTTCCGTCCCTTTTGATTACATACTGGTTGAGCTACTGAACACTGAAAAAACTAATGCTAACCCATACACTTTTCTAAAAACGTTACTTCGACTGTTTTTTAAGTACTGGTATTCAGGGTTGTGAGCAATGACACGATTAAGTTCAATTCTGTAACGAAGTTCAAACTATCAACACACGGGACTTTTGAGGGCATTTAATCACATCTGATGTGTACTAGCGTTTTCTAAAATTATGTACGTACTTTGCCATTAATTCACACACTCACGCCAAAACAAAGAATTGTAGGGCTCAAGGGAATGCGAAGTTGTACGCTTATACTTGGCAAAGAGAAATAATTCTAAAACGGAAAAGGAAAGTCATGCAAGAGTATTTTCAAAGAATCAGTCCAAGTTTCCGACGGGCTTTTCAACAGCCCCAGGCAACCCCAAAATCTCTCAGCCCCCGAGTGTTATAAGAATTATAAAAGAACAGAAAAGTGCCTGGCACTGCGCCTCGCATCACGCCCCTCTACATACGCTATTTTCCTGACAGTCTCCAGACGTCGCAACAGAGAGAAACGAGAACTGACGCGAATTCACGCGTAAAACAAACAAAACCGGTTCTGGCGGGAGGCCGAGCGCGCACCGGCTGCACCAGGGGGCCGCGGGGTCGCAGTCGGCGGAGCGCACGCTCGAGGAGGAGGGCGCGCCTGCCCCGCCCGCTGCCCGCACGCACGCCTCACCGGAGGACCGCGCCGCGTCGCCCACGCGCAGGGAGCTCAGCCTCGGGGAACTGCTGAGCGGACCGACGCCGCCCAGCTCCCAGTCTAACTGCCACCAAGCTTTCTAGCAATCTGCAGCGCGCGCCGGAAGTGGCTGGTCGGATGAGGACGCACCGGAAGTGCGTCACAGGGAGCGACGTTCTCTCACCGCACTGAGGGGCATGTTCCGGGCTAGCCTTCTGGCGGGTTGGCAAACTGGCGGATTTGGGAATTGTCCCAGCGCACCCCTCCCCCCCGCAAGGCCGTGGTCTCGCGGGTGGGGGAGCCCACACTCTGAGCCAGGCACCCGCCTACACTGGGTGAAGTCGGATCCCTGGCAAACCTATTGGGTTGTTCCTAGTGTCCTCCGGACCATGTAGAGCAAGGCAGATTCCCAGGGAGGTGGAAGCTGGGCGTCAAAACTGCCAGATCACGCACCCCACTTCTCCGAGTACCCAACCTTACACGGACACACGTCACGATCTGTGCACTGGAGACAACACTCCTTAAGGAACCCTCTCCAAGTTATCGGGCCTCACCCACGTTTACATGCCCATAAGGAACACTTTTCAGCACAGGAAGCTTTTGAAAGGTCGTTTATTAACAGTTTATCATAAAGTACACTTGAATCAAGTCCTAATAAATGCAGTCCTGGAACTGTGGCAAGCTTGTTGGGCACCCCTGCAGCGCATCTTCCCACGGATCAATGGCACCCAGTAATGAACAATGACTGCTGGATGTAGGGAGTTCTACCGCCTGATAAACTATCCCGTACTACCACAACCAAGATGCTAGTCACTTAGTCCACTAAACACAAAATACTCTGGAAAAAGGGATCAGAATAGTAAACCAATTCAATATGTGGCACCTCCAGCAGTTAGTATATTTTTATCAATATTTCTTCACAATTGCAAAGCCTTTTCACTTTCTAGGTTGTTCTAACATCCTCAGGAGTTTCATCAACTTCATCCTTTAAGGAAGTGAAGTCCTAAACAAGGATACTCAATTTTTGCAGTTAAGACTCCTAAGGCCCTGGGGCAGATCTACCAAACCTTCCAAGCGTCTTATATTTGTTTTTTTTCCCGGTCCCGGGGATCAAACTCATGACCTTGTGCTTGCCGGGCAGGCGCTGTGCCGCTGAGCTAAATAATCCCCAGCCCCGAATGATGATTTGATTTTTTTTTTTTTTTTTTTTTGGTTTTTTTTCCCAGTACCGGGGATCGAACTCAAGGCCTTGCACTTGCCAGGCAGATGATGTGCCGCTCAGCTAAATCCCCAGCCCCCAAGCCTCTAATAAAAGATGCTCTATGCTAAAAAGCAGTGCCTTGTAACAATACAAGCCTTATGACCCACAGGCCTTTGGGCACATTAGGCTTCTGAAAAGTTAATTTTTGCTAAAATGATGAAAATAACAGGATTTATTCTACTCTATTTTTGAGCTCGAAGTAAGTACTAAAATATTACTTGACAATGAATTCCTCCCAAAAGTTCTGGTCACTTATTGTACTTAAAATACCTATCTATATAAATGGATGTATACTAGATTACTCTAAACTGAAAAAAGTAATTGCTTTTACATGGAAGTGTAGCTTTTTCTGAGAATTTAGTAAGGTACTTTGCAAAAGTCACGATCCAAATGAATGCACTGTCCTGTGACATTTGAAATTCAAATAACTTTATTTAAATTGAAAAATACAGTCAAGCCCTTTGGTTATAAAAATCACCAGAAGTATTTAAGTAAGGCAGTATTTCTAGGTTAACAACCAGATTTAACTCTGGACCTCTTTAAACAAGTGTAGAGGAGAGGAAAAAAATAGGTTATTTACAGAAAACAATATCTACATATGTACTCAGGTACAAATTTGGTGACAGAAAAGACTTCAGTACATGCTGGCATCTCAGAAGCAGTTCTCCAAGAGCTGGGTTTCACTTTCTTGAATTTTAAGAATGCCTACGATCCTTCTTCATCCTCAATCTTGGGGGCCAAATAGTACTTTAAATGTCCCATATCAGCAATTTTATACTCTACAACTGAAAGACAGGAAAAGTTAGTTACTGAGGAACGTCACATATATGGCCAACAAAACAAGGTTCAAATGTACTATCTTACCAAGGGGTACATCCGCAGACATACTGAGTGTTACTGTAGGAGAGAGTGGAGTGGCTTTTGTAAAGAAGTTCAGGTACCTCAGTGCAAAAGTTAGCTGAACAGGCTCATTCATCTCGATGGTAACCTACAGGAGAAAAGATTAACTGCATTTGAAAAACAAAGTTCCAAAGCATTAGTTAATATACATTAAATAAAACTTTACTGGGTACTTTGGAGGATGTGATGAAATTAATTTTTGAAGACTCATAAAGCTGAAGTAATATTTAACCTGTCTTCTATCAACAACAGACAAAATTATGCAATCTGGGAAAGCTTTGGATCTAGGAGACTAATTACATTATGACTACTAATATAAAGACATCCATACTCCTTATGCCTCGTACCAGAGGTACACGCCACCCATCAAGTAGTACTCTTGCTCTCCCGGCCTCCAAACAAAACACCCCAAATATCATCAAACCTCTAGAGTTGTAACTACCAGTTTACAGAACATATAGGGCAGAAGGTGCTAATTAACATCTACATGCAATAGCAAATTCCAGACTCTGGAGAATTTGACAGTAATCCTCCTTCTTCAATTAAAAGATTGTATGTAAGAGTTGGTAAGAGCTAGAATTTTACCCTTACCCCTTATCCTCCTTTTCAGCTGCTATCCAGTTCTCATTTATTTGACAAGAGCACAGGAAGTATCTCCAGAAAGCTAAAAATCCAACAATCCTATCCTCAGAGCATGTGTGGGTTTAACTCACAAACTCATTATTCTAAGGTTTATAAAAGAAGTGCCGAGTTTGGATTTTTTTTTGACAGATATAATCCTACATTGGATGGCTCCTATAAATTGTTTGCAGATTTCAACAGTATCTTTCAATTTTCACTATTTTATCTGATTTTCTTTAAGCAAATTATCTTGTGGGCTGGGGATTTAGCTCAGCGGCAAAGCGCCTGTCTGGCAAGCGCAAGGTCGTGAGTTCGATTCCTGGTACCCGAAGAAAAGAACAAAAACAAAACAAAACAAAACAAAAAGCAAATATCTTAATATTAAACAGTATTATAATTTTCTTCAAAGTAGTTTCTATTTACTTAAACAGAAATTTAAAATTTTATGCTTACAGCTTCTTCCTCTTTGTCAACATTACTGGTTTGTGACAACTTAATGTTTCCGTTTCCAAGTTCTCCACTTGCAGAAAATTTCACTCCATCTTTTGCACATGATATTACAACAGCGTCTCCAATGTGACTGAGGTCTCGGCATATACGTGCAAACTCACCAGAAGGCATCTTTACCACACAACTGTATTCTTGCTCCTACAAAACAAATTCGTTAGTTAACACATTCCACCTTCCAGGGAGCAAAACAAGGGCCTCCTACCCTTGCCGGCTAAATCCAGGTCCTTAATAAATCTCTAAGATATACTTAAAATCTAACAAAAACCAAGCATTCTAGGACAAAAACAAATGTATGGGTGAATAATGCAAGTAAGTAGGTGGCAACACAATGAATTCAAATAATGATGAATTTTAAATTTTAGACTATTGTGGTTTAGAAAAATGACAAATCTATCTGGGCAACTGCACCATGTAAGATATAGTAACATGACTTAAAGTGTACTTCTTAACAGAACTTTTTCTGCAACTATACCTGCAAGTGTGTGATCAATCAATGGCAAAGTACCTAATTTTTTGGAAAATGTTAATGTAAGTCAGATGTGATTAAATGCCCTCAAAACTCCTATGTGTTAGCAGTTTGAGCTCTGTTATAGAATTAAATCATCATGACACAGTATGGTACACTGTATAATCAGAAATATACTCACTGGAATTCCAAGTTGTTCCACATCCAAATCCATTAACTTCATTTCATAGTCAGATACTTTCTCCTGATCTACCAAGTGAAAGCAAGTATTAAAGAAAGGTATGTGTTTACAACCACCTCAAGCAAACATACATGTGTGATCTCAACACTTGGAGGCTAAGGCAGGAGGATCGCCAACTTGGGCTGCATAGTGAGTTCAAAGCCAGGCTGAAGCCAGGTTTGGTGGCACACACCTGTAATCCCAGCACTCAGGAGGCTGAGGCAGGATTGCTTCAAGTTCAGGGCCAGCCTGGGTTACAAAGTGAGTTCAACGCCAGCCTGAACTGCATAGCAAAACTGTCTCCAAAGAAAAAAAGGACAAAGCCAGGATGAACTATACAGCCAGGATGAGAGACCTTGCCCCAAAAAGAAAAAAAATTGTGATAGGCTCTCATTATGTCACTACATTGCCCAGCTTGGGCTGGAACTTACATTTTTGGGCCTCAGCCTCCCACTAACAATGCGCTTTATAACTATATACTGGAACTCGTTAAAAGGGTGCAACTTACTTGGTGCTTCAAATACTAGTGCCAAGGTGTCAGCATTATCTTCAGCTCTTAGGGTAATGATGTCTTCATTGCCAGCACATTTTAGTATTTTGGACATGCTAAAACATATAAGACACATTATTTGCCTAACATCTAGATTTCCAAAGCAATCAGGAGTCAGTACTTGCACACATCAGGTGGTGAGAGGAACGCAGGGTAAACACCGCTGGAAGGTGAATATAGGTCCAGCCATTTTGGATGCAACTTGGTACCCTACCACCACCTGGCCAAATAAAAGAGTATTTCCTCTGGGCTGGGGATTTAGCTCAGCGGCAGAAGCGCCTGTCTGGCAAGCGCAAGGTCGTGAGTTCGGTTCCCGGTACCGGAGAAAAACCAAAAAAAAAAAAAGAGTATTTCCTCTAGCTGGACAAATAAAAAGAGTATTTTCTGAACTCCAAAGCCCTTACGTGGGTGAAGTAAATTACGCCGCAAAGATACTTAAAGATGACCCAATAAACCTATTAAAACACACCGCATGTACTCTGGGTAAATACTGCGTTTTTTAGAAGTTTTAAAAAAATGTATACATGTGTACTAGATCGGCAGTGATCACGGTTAAAAGCTCCTGTCCCGCTTAAATCTTCCTGCAAGTTCAGGATATGTAAAAATAGAGTAAGACCCCAAACACCTATTGTCCCTATATCAGGGGGCAGAATGACAAATTCTCACGCGTGCACGTTATAAGGCGGTTGAACTCAACCAGAACTAAGGTTTCCCCGCCACTGCTGCTGGAGCTTAATGTGCCACGGGCCCTGAGAGAGACTTTTGGGAAGACCGCGGGGAAGCCGGTCATTTTCCCGCCACGGCCGGCTTTGTGACTTTGGCGCGGAAATAGCCGGCTAGCGCGGGTGCCAGCGCGGGCTTTTCCGAACCGCGCACTCCGCTGGGCCCCGCCCTCGGCGCCGCAGCCAATGGGAAGCCGCGAACGTCCGCGGCAGCCAACCAGCGCACGGCTCCCGGCGCGCTCCCGCCAAGAGCATGGGCTGGGACTGCTCCAGGCCCGGTCCCGGGCCCCCGCTCACCTGGTGAGATTCACGCCCATGGCCAAGTTGCGGTCGCACCGGTACGTGTCGAAACCTTCGGAGCGCAGCGTGAGCTGCACCAGGGAGACGTGGGATGAGTCCATGCTCTGCAGGTTCACGCCGCCCGAGCTGATGTCCCAGCAGGCCTCGTTGATGAGGTCCTTGAGCGCCTCCAGCACCTTCTTCAGGATGGAGCCCTGGACCAGGCGCGCCTCGAACATGGTGACGAAGTCACGACAACGCAGCTGCCTACGAGGTGAAAGGAGTAAAGCCCAGCCGGTTTAGGCTTCCCGAGGAGAAGAGCGAGGAGACGAAGGCGCAGCGAGGGCCTCAGACCAGGAGGAACACAACCAGATTGCTGCGCCTACAGCCGTTGAGTGCCGCCGCTTCCGCGAGCGCGCTTTCCGCCCCCTGCGCCCTGTGTTGCAACGTCATCACGCTGACCCGCCCACCCCCTAGACAGAAGGGCCAATAGTATCTTTCATCTGCGCAAGTCCCGCCCTTCTTGAACATCCATTGGATTCTGAGTACACAGAGGCGGGGCAAGCGCGCTGCCGGCCTTCAGAGGTGGGTGGGGCGGCGTCCCGTAGTCTCCCGCGTTTTTTTTTTTCGCCGACTTGGGCACCGGATCGTAGAGGTTGGCCGGAAGGCTAGGTGCAGGACCGGACTGTTAATCCCCAGCTCAGCGGTACCTTCTCTGGCCTCTACTTCAAAAGTAAAGCACTTCCAGCCTTCAAAGTGAAGTGCAAATCGAACCTACCAGGAGAAAAAACCGCCTGTACCCTGAAGACCATAGCCCCTGTAAATAAGCATTTATTTCTGCTACCCCTGCAGGGATGCACTTCTCAGCTACCAGGAGTGAAATGTGTACCCTCACCGCTACGTGGGCTCCTGACCACCATGTTTAACACCCCCACACGTACCTCATCTGATTAATGACAGTCGTTTACTGCAAGTTTTTGTTTTATATAAATACTGATTTTTAAAAATGTTTGTATTATGTACACTTCTGCAAACTACCTAATAAAGCACATACACTTTATATTATGCCACGTACGTTTTCTTTTTTTTGGTACCGGGAATCGAATTCCTATGACCTCAGGCTTGCCAGGCAGGCACTTATGCCGCTGAGCTATATCCCTGGCCCTATTTTATTTTTTGCGTTACTGCGGAGCAAAGTGATGGGGCAGTCAACTACCTGGGCCCTCCCACATCTTTTCTACATTACTACGGCCTGGGCAATTTAGAGAGATCCTGTCTCAAAAAGTTCAGTGTTCCAGAACTCAAAAATTTCAGTTCAGTCCTCAGTATCGCCCAAAACCAACCCTTCCATCCCATATAAGTCACCTAATTTAGCAATTTCCTGTTTTTATTACAAACACCTTTGAGGACTTAGGTGCTTTTTTGTGAGATCAGCTCCTTCAAATAACACTGTGGGTTGAAGAACAAATAAATTTTTGATAAATATTACTGGATTGGCTTCTAAAAGTTGAATTTAGTTTCCAGCCAAGAGTGCGTGGGTATGGCTGTTTCCCCTTCTTTTCCTCCATCCGGGCAGGTACTCTTACCACTGAGCTACACCCCTGACCCCAATAACCTCAGTTTTAAATCTCTGATCATTTGTGTGAAAATTTCAACTGTTACATTTGAACATCTTTCACATTTCTTGGCTATTGCGTTCTTTAATCTTTTTCCTACTAATTAAAACACACACATATATAACACACATATATATCTGTATATCTGCCTTCATTTGTTTCTTTTTTCTTTTTAGAGCATTTCTCTTTAGTTGTCTTTAACATCTTATTTGATATGTAGAATTCTTCAGCTTTTCTACTCTATATCTAGTTATGGATTTAGTTTTATCTATCCTGTTTATGGAAGTGAAGATACACTTATTTCATCAAGTCTAAAATATTCTCAACTGGGGAAGAAAAATAAAAAAGAATCAAAATGTGTTATGTACACGTACCTACTCCTTAAGAAGAATGTAAACTTCATGCATTGAAAACATGTACTAACAAAATAGAATTCTAAAAATAAATCAACCCTTATGATTTCAGATGATGACTTTCTACCCCTCTCCTCCCTCTAGCGTTTCTAGTGGACATACATATTTCATTGAATTTAAAATTCCTTAAATGTCTAAGACGCACCATTATTTTACGTAGTACAAGAAATAAAACACACTATCATGCAATTCTTTATTACTTAGAAGTTCTATTGTGCAGTTACTAAAAGAACTTCGACTTTAAAAAGCATGTTTATCTTGTGCATACATGAAAAATACACAGAGGCTTGGGTTATCAGTAAAACATTTCCCTGGCGTGCATGAAGCAGTGCGAGTACACAGCTAGGGTAAGTCCTGCCGGCTGTTTCTCCACGGTTAGTTTCCCACTCAGCTGCTGATGCTGTTGTTTTCCCATCTGATAGCACATTCTGTGCTGTCAAGGGTGCTGATGCTGCAGTATTCCCCATGTCCTATTCCGTTATCTCTGGAATTGTTTCCAAGCCCCTGTCACCCATTTGCAAGTCTTCACACTGGCATTTTCTTGCTTTATGTGTGACCAGTTATCTTTCTGCACAGATAGTATCAAAGCACGATACAGGGCTGGGAGTATAGCTTGTGCTTAGCATGTACAAGGCCCTGGGTTAGATCCCCAGCACCAGAAACAAACAAACAAAAGCAAAACATTTAAATATAGGTTCATCTACTTGTGGGTCTTGAATCTCTTAAAATCTCAGTTCCTTTGCAAAATGTGCAATGTGTTCACTCATCCAGCAAGGAGCATTTGCTTTGCTAATAATAACTGTGTGTTCTCTGCTAATGTTTCAGTGCTGGAAGGTTAGGGTTTAGATCTAAAATGTTCCCCCTTCCCCCAAGGATGACTGGCTCATCGGGGACTATATTCATCAGTGGATTCGCTGATGGGCTGTGAGGAGAAGGGGCCTGGTTGGAGGTGGGTCGGTCTCTGGGGGTTGACCTGGAGGGTGCATTCTGTGTCTTGTGTGTGTGTGTGTGTGTGTGTGTGTGTGTGTGTGTGTGTGGTTTTTGAGATGGTGTTTCACTAGGTAGTTCAGGCAGGTCTTGAAGTTACTATGTAGTCCAGACTGGCCTTGAACTCTTGGTGATCCTCCTGTCTCAGCCTCCCAAGAGCTGGGACTACAGGGGTGTGCCACCACACCCGGCTTATCCTGTGACTTCTTGTCCTCAGTTTGTCCCTTCTCTTTCTGCTTCCTGGCTACCAAGATGTGAGCAGCTTTCCTCCACCATCTCATTCTCCGTGCCCTTTCTGTCATGGATCCAGCCGTCTGTGCACCGACTAAAATTGTGAGCCAAAATTAACCTCCCTTCCTTTAAGTTGTGAGTGTTGTGTATTTTGTCCTAGCAATGGGAAAGCGATTAAGACTGAAGCTTACTAAACATGGTTCAATGCCCAATCAGTGTGATTAGTTGAAGATTTTTTTGTGTGTGTACTGGGAATTGATCCCAGGGCCTCACACATGCTAAACATATGTTCTGCCACTGAGTGGCACCCCAAGCCCCATGAAGATATTTTAAATGGCAACTAAACTCCCATGGTATGTGACCTACAATGCATGCACACTTGTTGAAATGAGGACTTAAAAATGGCTATGACCTATGGATGTGGGAACCCCTCTAAAGAAGTAGCATTTTACTAGAGCTGGCAGATGTTTGGAAAATGGAAGAAAGAGCATTGTAGGTGGAAAGAAAAGCACGATTAATGCTATAGGCATCAGGGCTAGATACTCAGTGGCAGAGTGCTTGTCTACATTCCCAAGACCCTGGATTCAATCCCTAGCATTGCCAAAAATAGGGTGGTGGGCATGCTCAGGAGGGGTGCAGTAGGTAGTTTATCTTAGGGCTAAAAGGTTGATGCATCTGATGCGGGCTGAACAAAGGGGAGAGCAAGGCAAGTCAGGCTGCAAAATGAGGCAGGGCCAGATCAAAAAAATCTTGTTGACCCTGTAAGTGCAAGGGGAAGTGACCCAAAGCTGGCCTTTCCCATGATCCAATTCATACTTTAAGAGGATACCTTTAACATCAAGTAAAGATACTATTTGATCAGTGAAAGAATGAATGAATGAAGTAAGTAAATTTTAATTAATGATTGATTAAACTTTTAGAAAAGAATAAAGCTGTAGACTCTTCCTAGTAACTACTGAATTCCAGATAAAAAATTCAAATTTGACTGAATATAAATTCAGTAAGAAAGGAAAAGTATTTTGGTAAATATTTATGTGATCTTGTTAGGGATGCCTAAATGTAAAAGGAAAAATCATATAAAACATAGAATGACTACATAAATTTTAAGACTGGTGCCCCTAAAGCCCTGCATTGGTGAGTACTCTAAGGAGGAGACAGCTGGGCGTGGTGGCGCACACCTGTAATCCCAGCACTCAGGAGGCGGAGGATCACTGTGAGTTTGAGGTCAGCATGGGCTAGATAAGCCTCAACTACATAATAAGACCTTGTCACAAACAAACAAATGGCCGAAAAGGTTTCAGTGACAGAAAATACAATATAAACCGACCAGACCAAACCAATATAGAATTTCATCTGAGCTCTCTGGTTCGTTGCAGAAGGTCCTGCAGCCAATGAACTAATTAAGGTGCAAACAACTATGGGTAACTAGTTAAGCTACAACCAATTGACTAGTAGGCTATATTGCCAGTAAAATTGTTTTCTAGCTCTTTCCTGTGTTTTTCAATAAATGCTGTCTGATCAGGTTGTTGGCTAGAGTTCTCAGAACCTGCTTTGGAAGCTACTCAGTGTTTGAATTGTATTGTTTGTTTATTTGTGACAGGGTTTCACTATGTAGCCCAGGCTGGCCTCAAACTTATAGCTATCCTCCTGCCTCAGCCTCCCAAGTGCTGAGATTACAGGTGCATGCCGCCAGATCCGGCTTATGTTTTGTTTTCATTTGCTCAAGTAAACCCTTCTAAACTCATCTGGCTTAAGGAATTTTTTCTTTTTTCTTTTTCTTTCTTTCTTT